CCATCATTTACAAAATTTGACATATCAACTTCACTATTTACCCTCAGGGCAAGAGGAGCGCTTGATAGTAATATTTATGGCTGGCCATGTCAGAAAATATACAAGTTTTAAAGAGGGTTTTAAGTGCCCATTTTCAATTTTTAAATAGTGCTCGTGTCGAGTATTTTACGTTGGACAAATGTCATAAATGCTATATTAAACGAGAAATGTTATTTGTCTACACTTGATATTAAGTATTTATACTGGAGCAGATTGCCTATCAGTTACTTTATGAACAAAACAATCTATAAAGTATTGTATTTGAAATGAGACTAGGTTAGTGCATAGCTTCAAAACCTGTTTAAGGGCATGCCTGGTGACATGCCAGGGGCTTAAACTACAGTCTAAACAAAAAGTGGCTACAGTGCCTGAAACAGCAAGTAGCTTTCATTAAAAGTAACAACTGTCTTTAAAATCATATTCTTCCGGCTTTTATCATAATTATATTATGTACAATTGTTGCGTTATTTCAAGTTTTAGCTAAAGTTGCCATTGCTATTGTTCAAAGTCAGATTTTATTGCACTTGTTGGTTTTAAGTTTAGTGTAAAAGATTTATTTACTTTCTAACAAAATTAATGTGAGACTGCTACATATATCTTTACATATCATGTTATCAGAAAACAAATTTACAACTTTTAAAACAGGACTTTAAGTGATTAAAAAAACAAACTTAACAAGTTAACATTGAATTATAATTGCAAGAGTGTCTTAACTTGGCAGTTTCACTTCACTGTTTTATGCTAATGTTAAAACCGATGTTTTGTTATCTTTTGTAAACATTTTAGAATCTCAATTGTTAATTTGAAGAGAAATTTTTTTTTTACCCATCCATGTATTGTGACAAGGTCATTGTCACTAATTTAAAAATGTGTATTGTAAGTAATTGGATAGGACTGTAATGTGTTTGGGACCACTCCCAGCTTGAGGTGTTGGATGACAAATGGGGCAATCTTCATCAATAACAGGGAATTGACATAGTTTTGAAATGACACTACAGTGGCCATAATAACTAACTGTTAAGATTTGTGGAGTTTTTTTTTCTGGTAAATTCAATTATGTCTGTATCTTGTCTATGCAAGGGTTGTTTTTGATGAGCCGTGTGGGGTACTACTGTAAGGTTCAATGGGCCACTTGCTCTTCAAAATCTTTGTATTTTGTTTATCTGTCATATGAAACTTAAAGTAAAAAGAAATAAAATAATTCAGATAGGTTATTTAGATAGGTTATCTGGAAAAAACTGATTAAAGAAAGTATGGTTTCTTAAGTTTATGTTTTAGATAAAATCAATATGATCAACATGATATTCATTTATATTGTCACCTAAGTGCAGTAATGGATTATTTCCTATTTTCAATAGGAGTTAATCCGTTGCTGCACTTAGGTGACAATTTTGACTTTCGGCTATTATTGATATTCTGGGATAATCAAAGTCTGGATTTCTAAATTATTAAGCAGAGATAAAATTAACTCTTTAAGCTTGTGGCACTAATTATAAGCCTTTGTCATCAATGTACAGCCTACTCCAGCATACTTCCACACCAGTTCAGCCTTCCCACCAGTACAGCCTACCCCAAAAAGTAGGCTTTTTAACTCAATGCTCAACTCTTTGCCTTCTTACCCATGCAGGGTTGGCAAAATCTGATTTTGACCGACTTTGTCTATAGTCTGAAGCATTTCTTAACAAGTGTGTATGATATTTTTATAGTAAATTCCAGAAAACTTCCACTTGTCCGCACAGGCTATGGGGCAACCTGGGCAATATGGACATTTGATTTTGCCGTCCCTGCCATCATAGTGTCATGTGACTAATGCAAGACCAGCTGGCACATGGTCTGCCCTGTTTGCTATTCAGTCAGTACATATTTTCAAATTTTCCCTAATAATGATGAATGTATTTGTATTTGTCCAGATTGAAAGATATTTTAGCATGGTAAAGGTTAAACAGCGGAGGTGTGACTTAAAATGGGGTAAAAGAAAAATGTATTCAAAAAGCAATAGCTTTAATTGTGTTTTCTCATAATTTTTTCTCAGGTTGGTGAAATAAATTATTCAATATACCATCTACATTTTCTTTTTAACACATTCATGTAAATGGACACATATAGCTATGGTCACAATCTGTTTTGTTTGCATTGCAATTAAGAAGTGTTTATATTTCGTATAAAGCTCTAAATCCATTCTGTATTTCAGGTTGTAATGGGTTTATCTTGCGGAGATTATTTGCCAATGATAAATGTCTTTATTTATCAATTACCCCTCTCACATAGTACATGCTCAAGTTGTTATAATTCTCGAGGCCTTTATTTTTTTATGTGGGCCAGCTGAAATAACTTGGTATTTTAGTGATTATGGTACTTTTGGGTAATTTACATGGTTTAAATTCCTTGCGCTTTTTATATTTAGGTAATTGTTATATGTATTGTCCAAAGAAAAAGAGTACTCCTTTTCTTTAGCTAGGTTTGAATTATCTTTGAAAATTGCCTACACCAATTATGCACACTGCAGTTCAAGCGTTTTGGTGTTTCTTGTATTGTTTGGCAATTGAATTTGGTCCAATAACCTCAAATATGATCAATTGAACCATACCATCCTATCGGTATGATATGCATTATAAACAATTTTAAGCCTTTTATATTTGTAAAAGAAGATTTCCATTTGGTTTATAATTTCTTTTATTGTGTTGTTGTATGTATAGGAAGTGCTGTATGCATAATTCAACACTTTTGAGAACATTATTGTAAAGAAAATGGTGAATCATTAAAAATTCATTTATGATTTTTGATAAGGGCGGATTTTATAATGATTGTATATATCAAATATATGAAACTTTATTCTTTTTTTAAGTCTGTATTTTTTGTATTTTTTCCAACATGAGAAAGTTTAGAGAACATGTCCCATAATTATTGAATTATTTTAATACTTTTCTGAAATGACATGAATAATAAAAGTCCTAATTTTTAAATGAGTTTTATTGAATGTTACAGTTGATCTTTGTTTCCCATTTAATTTTCAAAGAGTCAGTAGTGATATTAAGGAGGCTTGTACTTTGGATATTTAATAGTTAATGGTTCCAATGGCAAGCTAACTGTACAAATTGAGGATGGGTTTTTAAGATTTGAATGCTCTAAATAAAGTTAATTCTAGCCTTCCCGAGCAGTTGACTGCATTGTGAGATTCATCCAATAATTTGCCATAAATATAACAATATATACATGGTTTTTTATTGACATAGATATTAAATGGTTCATTAGGGAAGCTCTTTATCATTTACACGCCTCGTTTATTTTCCTGATAATTAATTTTTAATAGTTTTTTTTCTGGGATGGGAATTTGTGATCCACAGACCAAGAGCATGTATTTTTTGTTCAGATATTTTTTTTTAAAAGTAGGGTAGAATCCCTTTGAGGCAAAGGAAGACAGAACTTTAACTGACTATAAATTATATATATATATGAAATAGGATATGCTGTAAAACATGTAATGTCATCTGATTTTGATCTTTTGACATAGTACAATTGATTGATTGTTTTTAAATCTATATAGCTAATCTGCATGTGATCAATACCTTGGGGTATAATCCCGTGAAATATGGCGGTCTCGGTGTCATAATCCTATTGTTACAATGCGTAAATAAACGCAAATTGTTTATGCTCAGGTATGAATGGAATTTGACTTAATTATTCACTCCACTCTTGTGAACTGGACATTGAGAGATTATTGAAAAGTTATAATTTGCTGACCTTAGCTCTATTCCTCTTTATAATACAATTATCTGAATTTCTTTAAACGGATTTTTCAAGGTTTGGTTTTGATTAAAATATATATAGAATAAGGGTTAATATACTGTTTTTGCGTTATTTTATATGGCCCAGTGACTTGACACATCACATTAGATAATAAAATGCATCATTTAACCGTCTGAATGCTTAAACTATAACAATCACATGTCTATGCAGACAGAGCCTACATATGGTTGTGATGATTCTGAATCTGCTGCTGAAATTAATGGTCACCTATTTTTTAGCTTGACTATTTGAAGAACAGTGGGGCTATCTATAATCTTACTACTCTGGGTGTCGGCATTGGAGTCGGCCTCAGTGTTACACTCTTGTTAAAGTTTTTCATACCAAATCATATCCCATTGCCCCCTAATGATATTTGATTGTAACTTCATACACTTACTTGAGAATGATGGTCTATAACTCAAGCATGGATTTTGATAGAATAATGGCCCTTTTTAAACTTAAAAAAAATCTTGGTGTAAGTTTTAAATGCAACATCAATCTTCAAAATGCTGAAGGTATTCACTTGAAGCTTAATATCAGGATTATACATTATTGGAGGTCACTGTTCATGGCCCACTATTCTGACTTAGATTTTGACAGTTATAGCCGATTTTGAACATGTATGGAAAGTTCTTTGTTAAAGTTCTTAAAATTACAGAAGGTATTCACTTGCCACTTAATATAAATCACTGGGATCAAAATTTGAGGTCATTTTCAAAGGCCCATTTCTCTGAAATGGATTTTGATTGAGTAATGCTAGATGTTAATTAAAGAAATTGTTTAAGTTTTGCTTGAAACATTAATCTTTCAAAAAATTCACTTCAAACTTAATTCAAGCTTTTGAACAAACACTTTCCAAGGTCCTTAACTCTGACATGAATTGTGAAAAAAATAAGGCCCTGGGTATAACTCTTTTGTCAATATTCAAGACTGACATTTGTAACTGCAGTGTCATGTATATTATTATTTGTATTCTTTTGAATGAAATCTTCCTCTTTGTTAATTTTTACATTTACCAAGCTCTTGCTAGTGCACTGTCCTACTATAAGCTCCTGCTGTGTTCAGTGACATATTTGGTTTTGATCTTAACATGTTGAAAATTTACACATTAGGTAGAAAGAAGTTGCATAAACTGATTTTTCAGATAGCTTATTTGTCATTTTCCTGTTTTTCAGATGTTACATCCTTTACATTAACTGCATCGAAGAGTGCTGACAAGGCTATTCTTGGTGATAATCCATTTACACTATCGTGTGCATATACACTAACAGGAAATGAGCAACTGTTTACAATAGAGTTAGAAAGAAAAAGAGACACTGTTAATACTGAAGCCTTTGAAACTATCTTGACTTTTCAAAATCCAAGCAGTCCATTAAATTTTACTTATCAAGATACAGCATTGGAAGATAGGACTGTTGCAACAAAGCCAACAGAGGAAAGTAAAACAGCAACTCTTGTTTTCAACACAATAGAGTGTGATGACAAAGCCACATACAATTGTAAGGCTTTGTACACAGATGGTGCTGTAAAAACTGCTGTGAGTTCTGTATCTGTTCTTGTAAGAGGTAAGCATATAACTTAAGTTTCCAAGATATTTTTATGCCCCCACAGAGTGGGAGCATATAGCGTTGCACTTGTCCGTCCGTCCGTACGTCTGTCCGCACTACCATATAGGGATAGGGGGCCATCTAACTGTAAACAGAACAAAAGAGAACAATAGAGTTCATTCCGTAACAATAGAGTAAGGGGCCATTGGCCCTCTATTAAACAATAGATAATAACAAAAGAAATGGCCCTTTATTCCATTTCGGCCGGACGTCCGTCCGTCAGTCCGAGCCAACATTTGATTATTATGAGCTTCATTCCGTAGTTAAATAAAGAACATAAACTCATAAAATTTAAAATTAAGAGCTATTTTTTGTTTTTATGAGCTTATTTTGCTTATGGACGTTGGTCCAGGTGGTGTTTATGAGCTCATTTGCCTCATAAACATCAAATTTTGGTACGTCCGTACGTCCCGAAATCTTGTGAACGCAACTCCTCTTAAACCGGATGGCAGATTTTGCTTAAACTTACAGGGATGAACAACCTTAATGTGTAGATGGTAGTAAAGGAAGGAATTTTTGCTGCGACCAAATTTAACAGAATTATGGCCCTTTGTTGATTTTTTCACTATATACTATGTAGAAATTTTGTGAACGCAACTCCTCTTAAACCGGATGGCAGATTTTGCTTAAACTTACAGGGATGAACAACCTTAATGTGTAGATGGTAGTAAAGGAAGGAAGTTTTGCTGCGACCAAATTTAAGAGATTTATGGCCCTTTGTTGATTATTTTCACTATATACCATATAGAAATTTTGTGAACACAACTCCTCTTAAACCGGATGGCAGATTTTGCTTAAACTTCCAGGGATGAACAACCTTAATGTGTAGATGGTAGTACAGGAAGGAATTTTTGCTGCGACCAAATTTAACAGAATTATGGCCCTTTGTTGATCTTTTCACTATATACCATTTAGAAATTTTGTGAACGCAACTCCTATTAAACCGGATGGCAGATTTTGCTTTAACTTCCAGGGATGAACAACCTTAATGTGTAGATGGTAGTAAAGGAAGGAATTTTTTCTGCGACCAAATTTAACAGAATTATGGCCCTTTGTTGATTTTTTCGCTATATATACCATATATATGTTGTCAGTGGGGGCATCCGTGTCCTTTGGACACAGTTCTAGTTTCTTACAGTATTGCCCTTGAAAAGACTTTGACCAGTATGCATCTTAATATATGTATACCTGACAAATTTACCACTGATGTAATCTGCTTGAAACCGCACACATGTTTTTTGTATTAAGACTTATAATTGTAGATCAATTTCCAAGAACTATAACTCCATAGTACGTATTTTTAACTGAATTTTACCAATATTATTCACCTCTAAAACAATTGTCTCTGGTTTGTTTGTTCGATAATTTTTTACTTATAGAAAGTGAATACAAATGTTTGATCAGATTTTTGTTTGGTGTTGATTCTGATATTTTAGTTGTCACTTTATTTAAATTGATATGTGAAAAAAAAAATGATTTTTAAAATATCTTTTGCTTTTTCAGCTAATACATTATTTGAAAAAGATAAGACAATTTCACATACACCATCAGCAAGCTTAGAAGAGGGTGATGACGTCACATTTCAATGTAGTGGGGATGTGGGTAATGAACCAGTCGGCCATCTTGGCTGGTTCTATTACCTCAATAACGACACATCATTTCCAATCAATGCCTCTGACAAAGCAGTATCGCAAGCACCAGTGTATCAACCAGGAACATGTAGTTACAAACGAACATCAACACTTCAGTTGAAAATGCTCAGATCGTTCAATAACATATTAGTGCGCTGTACTGTGCAACAAGATAAATACAACCAGTTTGGAGATGGTCATGCGCAGACTACGAATATTCAAGTATATTGTAAGTATCTATAAAGAATACTGTTCCAAGAGTACAAAATTATTGTGCTTATTGAGTTTAAATTTGACAGAAATTAATTTTTCTTCACAATCGCTAATCTTTGATTAATAAGTTTGCACATTATAATGAAAAAATAATATTTCATGGCAAATATTGTAAAGCTGTAATCATGTTTTTATTATGATGGAAGGTTATTAGGAGAAAACCTTGCTTCTTGTCATGTCTTAATAAAAGATACAGAGGATACAAGTACAATTACCTAGAATATTACATAATTGAACTTTATGTACTGGCAGCAGCAATGATTTGCATAATCCACCAATTTAGGTTGAGTAAAGTCTGCACATCTAGAAAGTTGGCAAGGACTATTATTTTATGTTGGAGTGTTCAGTTTGAGAACTTTGATATTGAAATCCCTTAAAATGCTATTGGACTGTTCCATGGTACAAATTTAGCAATGTTTAGCCTTAAAATCAGTTCTCAATGATTATAGATCATAAAAAGTGTAGCTTTTAACTTTTAAATTTTATACATTGCTAATCTTTCTCTGGTCTATTTTCAAGACCCTCCAAAGGTTACTGCTATAGCTGACAAAACAGTTGATGAAGGAACTGATTTGTTGACCTTGAACTGCGTAGCAGATGCCAATCCACCACCGACGTATTCCTGGCTTCTACCAAATGGAACAGTGACTGACGGTCAAAGCGTGTCACTCACAAACCTTGAAGTTGGAGACAACGGGACATACACCTGCTTAGTGTACAATATATACAAACAAGTGAACCATACAGCAAATGAAACAGTGTATATCGATGTCCGTAAGTAAAGTTTTAATGATATAATTAGCATCAAAATTTTGCAAATCAGATAATGAGCGCAAGCAACTATGCGCAACTGTCCTTGCAGCAAATTTAATATTTATGACAGACATTGCAATACACAATTTCCTGATTTCCTGTGTGGCTAGAGAAATAAACAGGTATACAAAAAAACCTGGATTACCGGAATATATAAATTAGATTTAGCGGTGGGACAAAGTAGTACTTGGCTTTTAGATGTTAACCTGCTATCATATCCTGGTAGAAAACAAAGGGTTTTATGTGTAATGGTTGTACCTTAGAGCTCTTTAATATCATACGAGGTACGACCTTTATGCACTAAACTCTGGGAATTTATATACACAGAAAACCACTTCTAGAATTGTTTTTATATAATATCAGCCGAAACTAAAACACTAATCTGGCAAGTAACAAGCAAGTTTATATTGCGCAAATACTAGTGCAGCTTTCTGTAAGGATTTTAGGCTATTATTTTTCTCTTGTTACATCTTGTTTCAAATATCTGTTTCGTCTGGAAATAGTTACCTATTTCGGTAGTTTGTCACATGTAATATCTGTTTAAATTAATGTTTTTATTATTCTTGTAGTTTTTTTTGTTTATCTTGATAAATGTTACTATCTTCATAAATTTGCTTTTTCTGTAACTGTACTGATCAGTTTGTTCACATTTGTGCTTTTATATGTTATTTACATCACATGACTGTCACATGGTTTTAATCTAAATCTGATTTTTTCCACACTTTTTTTGAATCACTGCAGTTAAAAACCTTTTGTTTAAATATGTTAAAGAATTCACCAAGTAAAGGTCATAAAAAACTCTGATGGTTAAAAAACTCTAATATTACCACAGTATGTAAAGCCTCATGGACCATTAGGTGAGGCTACATACATATTTGAAATTTGTCCAGTTCCTTGATACCATATGCGACCACAGTGTTTTCATCATTCTTGAGACTGATGGTGGGTAAACTGGTACAAAATTCATATATTTTCCAAAATGGTGGAAAGAAAATCGCAATAACTGCACAAATTCATAATTTATCTGTTGGTGCAACTTGTTTTTCTGCAGTTTTTCTAGTTTCGTTGCAACTTGTTTTTTCTGCAGTTTAACTAGTTTCAAATCAAATTGGGTAAGCCTGGCTGTTCTTAGAAAATAAAATAAAATAATAAAAAAAATAAAAAAGAAAATAAACCAAAAACACTGATGACCTCTCAGATGTTTGTTGTGACCTCAGATGAATCATGTGACAGTCATGTGACCCAGTGTTCATGTGTAAACATGTGCTGGCTGTGTGATTTTATTTCCTACTGACAGAGAGACACTCACCTGAAAACCATTTCCTTCATAAAACATTTCATCCTTTAACAAAAATTACAATACTAGAATTCTATAGGTGATGGCTTCAGCTTGACCCTGAAAACATTAAACAGACTTTCATGACCTTAAACAAACCTGAATTTTCTCAGAGCGATTGATAAACACATTGTTAAGCTGAAGCTTTGAAGACCTTTATTCCTTTGTCAATATTTCTTCTCCTATACCTAAATATGCAGCCTTAAGATATATTGCTATATTTCAATACATTTAATTTTTGACATCTCTCGTCAAAGAATGAAAAAAAAAAAAAAAAGAAGTAGGTGAAGTAGGAAATTGTCATGGAATTACAAGGATATTGTATCCATTTCTATGACAATGTCAATGAATGAGGCATAGGTTTCATGCCTTTAACTTAAAAGAAGTTTTAACAGAAAATTTGGGGGTGTATAGCCTCGTTCTGTAAAAGAAAGTATGTAACTTGATAGTTCAATGCAAAAACTGTCCGAGCTAGACTGACTTGAAGAATTAGCTTTAGCTGAATTAGTGGAAACAACGCAACCCTGTTAGTTGTATTTTACGTCTAGTAATTGGATTTCGATCCATATTGAACATATAACCTTTTTATTGAAAAATGGTTATATAATGTAGATTTTTGCAATCATCTTGTAGTTCCATGTAACCTCCCATGCACCAACCCTTTACCTTTACCTATGTCTATATAGGCTAACATTTTTGCTTATTTCACATTTATATATTTCATTCATTATTTAGTTTTCTTTATTTCTTTTTGTTTTATCAGCTTATTTTCTATATAACAATAACTATCATAGGCCCGTGGAACAGTTCTAAAGGTAGAAAATTTGTGCTATTATAAAAAAAGAATGGGCATATTAATCATTGACGATTCGGTCTGTTCTTTTGGGAAAATCATGTTCAATTTGTTAAGGTTCTGGAACTGTTTCCACTCTGCTTTAATAACTTTAAAAAAATAATTCCTGACTTTCAATTACATGCATAATTGCATAGTTATATTATTATTATTTATGTAAAAACGTTTAAAGGTGCATTCCATGCTTGTATAACATAGAGGTATTGTTTTTCAATTTCAAAACAGACATATTTCTTTATTCAGAAATATGATACACTTGAATGTACATTAAAAAATAAAGACAAGAAATTTTCAGTGGCAATATTTTGTTTCCATTATATAAATTATGTTTAAATCTTTGAGCACTGTAATATGTAAGGTCTGTACAAACAGGCATTTAAGGTTGTGGAGGTCCCAACCCACATGCCAACTTCTACCTATTATTGCTTTAATTTGTTTAAAAAACAAATAGATTACTATTTTGCAAATTCTTATCTACACACACTGATCATGCAAATCAATAGAAACTTGTTTCTTGTCTAGTAAAGAAATGATATAATATTTATACATGTGTAGTGTCAGGCCTGTTTGAAAATACAATTTGTATAGATCTAGTATCTAAAGGTTATTGCCCTTAGATAGTTTTCAAGTACTTTCGTGTCTAGTAATTTTGTTTAGATAACAAAGAAATTGCATGTTGAGTCATCAGCACAGTGAAATTAAAGGATGTAAATCAAGAAATAGATAGACAACAACACTGTGTGTGTGACTATATAATTTTATCACAATTATATTGTGTATACGGGTTTGGTATGCATCTTTAAATTATTGCCTTGTGTGTAGGAAAATGCTAGTTCTTTATTGTAGTACAAAATGGTTAATTGCATTAAAGTGTGTCATTTTTAGCTCGACTTTTCTATGAAAAGGGGAGCTATCCTACTCGCCCCGGCGTCGGCGTCGGCGTCGGCGTTAGCGTTGGCGTCACACCTTGGTTAAGTTTTTCGTACCACCCCACTTTATTTCAGAAGTATTACAAGTATGGCTTTGAAACTTACCATACTTGTTCACCATCATAACCTCCATCTACAGACAAGAGTACATAACTCTGTCAAGGTTTTTGACAGAATTATGGCCCTTTTTTGACTTAGAAAGTGTATTGAGCTTGGTTAAGTTTTTTGTACCACCTCACTTTATTTCAAAACCATTGGAGGTATTGCTTTGAAACTGACCATACTTGTTTACCATCACGACCTTCATCAACAGACAAGAGGACATAACTCTGTCAAGGTTTTTGACAGAATTATGCCCCTTTTTGACTTAGAAAATACATTGAATATGGGTAAAATCCACTTATTGCCTTAACCCTTTGAGATATTGCTTTGAAACTTTTAATGCTATTTCACATCATTACCCCCATCTGTACGCAAGAGAAGGTAACTCTGTCAGGGATTTGTTTTAAAAATTAAGGCCTTTTATCGACTTAGAATCTTGGTTAAGTTTTTTGTACCAGTCAACTTTTTGACTGAACTGGTTGAGATATTAAATTGAAAGTTGGAATACTTGTTTACCATCATGGTCCCAAACATGGGCAGGAGAAGGTAATTCTGTTAAGGATTTTATTTGAATTATGGCCCTTTTTGACTTAGAAACTCAGTTAAAATTTTCATTCTTGTCCACTTGTTGACCTAACCATTTGAGATATTACTTTGGAAGTTGGAGTTCTTATGTGCCATCATGAGACCTATCTGTAAGCAAGAGAAGATAACTCTGTGAAAATGTTTCTTGATTTGTACTTAGAAATTCCTAGTTAAAGTCTTGTGTGCCCTTAACTGTCAAAGTTTTGTTTTATAGGCAAGCACTAAAAAAGTCGAGCGCGCTGTCCTTCTGACAGCTCTTGTTTACTACAATTCTGACATTTTTATGTACGATATAAGTTATATGTGTTAATGCATACAAGCTGGACAGTTGCTGTGATTAGTAAGGACATACTGAATGAAAACACACTAAAAATTAAAGTGTGTCATTTTTTACTACAATTCTGACATTTTTATGTACGATATAAGTTATATGTGTTACTGCATACAAGCTGGACAGTTGATCTGATTAGTAAGGACATGCTGAATGAAAACACACTAAAAATACAGCAGTTGCTTTTTCAGTAACTGCTTTTAACTGGTCTATAACATAAAAGATTGGTATTTTCTTTGAAAATGAATATACTTAAAGAAAATAAGTTTGAGCATACTAATATTTACCCTTAAGTCAATGATTATCAAATGCAAATGAATTGTTTGGTAAAGTAGCTCGTTAATAGGCCACGTTTTTTTATGTATTTAGAGCAAATAAAAAAAAAAAACAAGTTAGCTAGTTCTCAAGACATGGGACTGCTTGCCTCAGACTTTAGAGGGTTCAGTTTCTGATGGGGACATTTGGATTCTTTCATGTAAGACAGCTCTCAAGCTAGCTGACAGCATTTGGATTCTTTCATGTAAGACAGCTCTCAAGTTAGCTGACAGCGGAGGTTGGTGGTTCTACTGAATGCCGCCTTGTGCCTGAAATAATGCACAGCGGTATATCTGAGGTCATTTTCTACCAGTAAAACTGAAAAGTCGCCATAAGATTTTTACAGTGTTGATTGGTCTTAAAACCGTACAAAAAAGCAACCTGCAATGTAACAGATCTATTAGACTTAAACACATTATGTCAACTGTAGTACTGTCTTTAAGTATTATGTTGGGTTCAAAGGGGAAATTAATAGATAGTAATAAACCTTATAATAATAATGATAATAAT